AACAATTAAAAAACCACATTTCCTAAGGAATCAACAGAAGTCAAAAACACATGATTCAATTAGCAAGAAAGGGAGCTATCCCCTTTGGGCAGTTATTCTTACATTTTCTTCTGTATTCCTCCATTTCACCCAAACCAACTGTGATTGAATCTAAATGGTTGAAGTCTGCATCCCGGTCAGTCTAAAAAGAGTAAGAGAGCCAAAGGGTAGCACTGTGGGTAGCCTATCCAATGCCTAAGTCCTGATGAAATCAAGAGAGAATAACCACCATCCCTTATAAAGAAGATTTTTAAATAAAATGCTTCTACTGGTACCAGATAGATATGTGAGCTCTCACCCTGGTACTTGACCATTTGTAGCTGCTTAACTGGACTTTTTGGAGGTCTAGTTCATGTAGTCCATCACTACAGCTAAACACACACACACTCACTATACGCCCAGAGCTGTATGCTTTGCAAATCATATACAACACGTGTCTGCTCGTGTGAAACACATAACTGGCTTAAAAGTCCAGAGCAAGTTTGCCTCTAACAAGGGTTATGCACCAAGTGTTCGTGCCATTGATATTCTTTTCTCCCCCCTCTTCCCCCATCCCCGTCCACATTGGGTTTATGTGCATGAGAGAGAAAGTATCTCACTTTTGCCATGTCGCTCAGTCAGCTACTCCCAATGGATTTCCGATTTCTTTTTTGTGGAGCAGAGAAACTACAGTTCAAACACGGTGAGCAGGCGCGGTCAGTGCCGGATGGACTGATAGGAACAGCCACCCCGAAGATGTATAGGGTTGCTGTGTGTGGCAGGGGAGCCACCAAGAAGAAGATGCCTCTCAGGGGTTAAACCCCAAATGCCTGCACGGCAGCCTATTTCTGTCAACACCCCTCGCAGGGAATAAACATGTCTGCTTTCTGAAATGAAAGTGCATTTTGGAAGCCTAGCCATCAGATAGTCCTTGCCCTTCACACTTTCACATGCTTAGCCTTTTTGTGTCAGTGGACTGCAAAGTGCACCCGTTTGCCAGGCTCAAAAAAAAAAAAAATACTTGACAAGGTCCCATGGCGTCACTGTTATCCTCCGAAGTTTCCAGGCGACGGAGGCAGGGGTGGGCACAGAACACACTCCTACGGGCCTGTGACTTCGGGGGCACCTGCCTCTTTTCGATCCTTCCTGGTGATGCTATTCCCAGCTGTCATCTGGTTTGTTGGGAGCCCGCTGCACGGCAGATAGACACACTGTTTAACCCCAGGACGGAGACGAAGGGAGATCACAGTTGTCAGGTACACGCGTGGAATGGGCTGTAGCCAGGGAAGCAAAGCATGCGCCATGCACAGCCTCAGTGCTATTTTCAAACGCTGTAACATGGCCGAGCATTTAAAACTATGACCTGTCACACACCAGAGATTGAGATCCAGGCCGTACAAAACATGAAGTGCAAATGACCCAACAGGGAAGCCTATTTTACTCCCCTTGGGGACGAGGTTTCTCTCCAAAGAGAGCTAAACGTTACAGATTTGGGGGAGGGGAGTCTCTCTAACTTTCAGCCTGCTAGCTGGCAAACACCACTATAAATGCTGGCAAACGCACAAACCAGGGATTACCATTCTGATATGTGTGTGTGTTTGTGTGTGTGTGTGTGCACGCGCCCCAATAAAACAAACATGTTTTTACAAAATTCCTTAGTCACAGTTTATTAAAACATATGTTTTTCATTTAGATTTTGGTCAGTTATGCTTCTGTACTTGGCTTGGATCTACTGAGAAAAGGAGTATTGTATCCAGGTGTCTGTGTGTGTGTAAAATACAGCTAACACTCCAGAGGGCAGGGGGAAGAACTCCGGAGTGAAAATATAATGTTATGTATCCAGCCTTCTTAGGGACCAGTGAGCAGGACCATCCCATGATAAGGCTGTTACCTGGGCATTGGGGCGGGGAGCCTGGGTGCCAGCTGCCAGCTTGCCAGAGGTGAGGTCAGAAAGGGTTAATGGGTTGAGAGTCCCCTATTTCTTGACCAAGAAGAGATACAAGCCCACACGTGTATTCACACTGTGAAAAGTGCACATGGTTGCTTTTCCCTACGTTTTGCAAACTTAAACGTCCTTTGATGGGCTGAAATAGACTCGACTTGAGATAGCAAGTAAGCAAAATGGTCAAACCTTTCATGTTAGATCCATCTTCCCATTCCCCCTGACCAGAGAGAGAGAGAGAGAGAGAACCTTTCTTTGCTTTTCCCCTTCTTTTTATATCATTGAGAAGTAAAAGAGGAAAGGGGTAAAGTTAGGTTTATAGGAAAGATACAGGCACACACACACACACACACACACACACAGCCAATACCATAGAAGAAATAAGTTGCAGAATCCACCTTAGAAAATGAACTTTTATTGTTGTTGGTTTTTTTGTAGTTTGTTTTCCTGCTTAATTAAATCCCAAAGAAACGTGTGCAACATTGTGACGGGTGGAAAATAGTGCGTTTGTACATCGCAGGGACAAAGGGGCCTGCGCAACTTTCAAGTTTCCATGCACGTAACTGTCGATAGCGCGCCTTCTCCATCATCAGCACTAAATTCACATTGATGCCTCTTTTCTTCTCCGTATCGATCCTTCCATGAGAACGCAGATTTGTATCTGTTAATTAATGCGTCCTGAAACGGCGTTTGTATTAATCAGGCAGATAAGAAAAATTGGATGCCTGCGCCCTCCTGACAACCAGAACAGGGCCGACCTGATAACATCGCGGATGGACCTCAATAAAAAAGTTCCTCCTTCCACTCAATAAACTAATCATCCTGCTTTTAATTATTCGGCAGAAAAGATGTGTGGAGATTGGGGAATGTGTAAATCTATTTACTAACAGCGGAGCCCGGGAGGGAGGGGGGCTGTCACGGGCAGGGGCTGCGGGCCACGCACTGGGCCCATCTGCTGCCGCAGAGACGGGAGCGTGAACAGGGAGAGAAGGAGGCACATGGAAAATGCCTTTTTGCTCACAACTTCCTAGAAGAACGTGTATTTTTTCATCCGTTTAACTTAGGAAAGAAAGTCCTACATGGTCCCCTTTTCTCGAGTTAGCTAGTGGGGTGTGCATGGCATGTTTTTGCTTGGTGGTGTGGGGGTGGGGCAGAAAGAAGAGTGATACTGTTTGTTTTAAGGATAACCTTTGATTGAAAGCAAATGGAGCCAGAACGACCTATCAGATCATTATTTTCCTCTTTTGAATGTCTGCTTAAAATGTTATCAATGGTTATGGCTGATTTTAGGAGGATAATTACTAATGTAACCCACTTTGCAAAGACAAAAACAAAGAGTGGGGGAAAAAGACTGACACAGCCAGGTCCAAAGGAAGACCTGCCGAGTCCTGTGTCAGCAGCTTGCTACCCAAGGAAAGCAAGGCTTTCCACAGATGCCTGCAGACCCCTGAGTGAGCTTGCCTAATCCCTCTTGATGATTGTATTAAACTCTCCTAGTTGACGGTGCCAAATGGCAGGCTACTAGTTATCAGCAACAGCCCAGGGAATCTTCACCTTTTTTCTTGCTGTGCTGTCCCTCCTGATACCACAGGGGACATGGACGATATGATAGGAGTAAAAATGACGAGGACAATGACCAGAGCGAGAGCCTAGGAAGGTTGGGCAGCGCTGCATATATTTGATTTGGGTAACAGGGTCTGGAAGGGGAGCAAAGACAGATTTTATAAGTGGCATTGCCCCCAAAATGTCCCCTTCTCTAGAATTACTGGTGGTCGTGCCTTAAATCATGGTCCGCCAAGACCCCAGGAGTGGTTGGTTACGCTTGGGATTCCTTGGGCAGAACCTTGGAAATGAAAGTAAAGTTTTAAAAAAGAAACTTATTTTTTTTTAAAAAAAAAAAGACTGTTGCAGAAGTATTTGGCTGATTAGTAGGTATATTCACTAAGACCTTACATATCTTTCAAAATTTAGATCTAGTCCCTCTAAGCTATAAATAAATCTCTTCATTCCTAAGTAGGCTTAATTGTACTCCTTCATTTTTCCTATTGAACCCCATTTTTTACAATATATATATTCATATGTTTATGCAAGCTCACAAGGGACTATAAGCATTCATAGAGTTTCAGTAAAGAATTGAAAACAGTCATGCTGGTATTTCAGATAAAACTAATACCTGATATAGCTACACTTATCATATTACAAGTTCGTGCTTTGTTGGATGGTCCTTATACTTTCCAGTAAAAAATTAAGGTACAAGTAAACGGTCTTTCTCAAGACGAAACAGCCAGCAAGTAGCCAGTGGAGCCAGGATTTAAATTCTGATCTGGCTCTGCTCATGTCCTCTGCACAGAACCCCATTGCCCTCATATTCAACTTGTACAATAACTGGGTCTTAATACGAAGAACAAACTTGCTTTTCTGTTTGGAGGAGGCCAGGATGCTAATTACTCCACTCTCGTTTATACCAGTAATCACCTTTTTTAAAAGGAATTCATGTTAAATATTGATGGGAACAAATATCCAATTGCAAAGGCTCTTGGAAGTGTAAACATACTAATTGTTCACTGTGCTTGTGACTATTATAGAATAATGTTTCCAAATTGTATGACCTAAATTACTTGCGTTCCTTTCTCTTTTTGGCTTTTTTAAAAAAGAAACTTTTATTCTGTTTATCAATAGCAGTTTTTGACCTGAGGTCGTTGAAAATCTGACTTCCTATGAGCCATTAAGACTTCCGCCAGATAATCAAGCGTATGTAACGATCTCGTCGCATTTTCTTCTCAAGTGAGAGATACAGAATTCTCTGTTGTATTGCTTTCAGCCCAGTCTGTGAAAGCTCGGGGGAACACCACTGTGTTGGAGCTGGTTGGTGCCTTTTGCTTTGCCATTCGCGCAGTGATCAGGGGGGAATGTGAGAGCATCTAATGGAAACTCAGCACAATTCCCAGCCCTAATGCAGAGGCCGTGGGCCATTGGAACGAACGTGTCCTTATGAAATGATGGCTGTGGAGTAACTTGATCTGCTCATCTCCCCATGCAGGCTTCTCCACGCTGTCCCTGGCCGACCAGATGAGCCTCCTGCAAAGTGCTTGGATGGAAATTTTGATCCTTGGTGTCGTCTACCGATCTCTTTCGTTCGAGGATGAACTTGTCTATGCTGACGATTATATAATGGATGAAGACCAGTCCAAGTTAGCGGGCCTTCTCGACCTAAATAATGCCATCCTGCAGCTGGTGAAGAAATACAAGAGCATGAAGCTGGAGAAAGAGGAATTCGTCACCCTCAAAGCAATAGCTCTCGCTAATTCAGGTTGGCATGTTGACGTGGTCCTTGTTACATTTTTTCCACGTGTCAGTTTTATCCTTTCCCTTAACTTCTTCAGAGATCCGCTGGGTCCAGTTGTAAATTCTGTATGAATCAGCAAAATCAGAATCATCACAGCTTTCTGGTGAAAAGTTATAAGGAAGAAAAATCAACGTGATGGGAATTATTTTTATTATACAGGGTGTCCCCCAAAATGTATGCACACTTCACAGCTCCATTTTGAAAATGACATGATTTTTAACAAACCCTGCCTTTATCATTATTCAAAGTGCATGTATACATTATTGGGGGACACCTTATCTTTGCCTGTGGCAAGCTGTGGGAGATTTTTGCCACCTCATACATTTACTAGTTTGTAGTGTACATGGACAGTCCCATGACAAAATTAGCTCCCGTTGTCTTGTGTGCACAAGTGAACACATAAACCATTTTTTTCTCCTCAAAAAAATGCACATTTTGCGATTGGGAAAAAAACACATCTTTAGTATTGTTTTTAATTTGGGTTATCAAAGAACCCTCTGTTTTCTCACCTTCTGGGGTGCTCTAAAAGTCAAATTGGGCCGCGGGACTAGTCCCCTCAAAGGCACCACCTGTGCGGTGAGGGTTAAGCATGATGGGGATGTAGAGCCTTTACATTTAAACTGAAACTTACTAAAAGGCGGCAACCTCTGGCGTGTGAAAAAAATCGTTGGCGCTTTGTTGGTTTCCCCCGTGTGTCTCTCTGAACCCTTTCTTGTGGTCTTAAGTCTGTCTCCTCATTTGCATAGAGCGCAGGCTAGATCCCTCCTTAATGACGGGCGATCATTAGATACCTGCGCGTCGATAACACGCCGGGCCGCTCTGTCCCTTTGACAGTCACTCCGTGGCCCTCCATCTGCTTTTGTTTTGACCCTATCTTTGAACTTTATCTTGGTTGCCGGCCAGTAGTTTTCCCTTTAATTACAAGGAGGAAACTGTCAATAAAATCTGTTAAATGGGATGCAGTGAGTGGCTTGAATGGGCGGACGGCTATTTGTTCAAATTCTGCAGCTTTCAAGGTATTGACAGTTTGCTTTCTGGGGCCATATGTGACGATCAATCTCAGGCTGGGCTCAGCCGCGCTGAAAAATGAAAAACCAGATTGCTTTTGCTTAGTTGGGGATGACGGAGGGGTGATTTGGCGCGGTCCTAGGGAGATGAGCCCTTCTGCCCAGATTGCCCCCGTGAGAGCCGGGGGACGCGTGACTGTGTTTAGAAATAATTTTTTAATTGATTTTGTCATTAACAGTTCATCTACAATATTGATGCACGGATCCTGGGACGGATAGGAGGGACATTGTTTTCAACAATGAAGTTGTACTTTCCGATCGGTCTTTATAATGGAGTTTAGCATTTCGCACTTTTAGTTGTTAACCACACCATTCTCTTCTGCTGTTTCCCTGGGAAACTGTAAATTATGACTCATTATGACAAATGGCGTTGCTCTTGCAGGATCAAGGGCCCCTGGTCCTGCTCTCTGGAAAGCCAAAGTAGGAAATTGGGACAGCAATTTTCTGAGAATTTATTAATTTGCAGAGACTTCATTTTATAGCCCCTCTCATAATTAGATGGCAGATTTGTGAATTTTTATTTGGTAATCACAAAGTAATTCAAATTTAAACATTTCTTAGAATAATTATAAAGTGCAGCAAGCCTGTTTTGTATCCTTTATGCTTCAAATTGCTTTTTTATAAATTAACTAATCATGAATGCTGAGCAGTGCTAAGATTTTGTCATCAAAATGGCTGAAATCTATAATTTTAGAAGTTGGAGGCATACTGTACGGCTATGGATTACAGTTTGAGTGCCTGAATTGATGGCATTTCTCTCTCTGTTGTTGAGAAGTGTAATCCTTAATATTTTTATAGATAAATATTCAAATCCCACCACTCTTCGCTTACGGTTGACCTATTTCAGAGCAGGGACTGGTTATTAGGGTATTTAAAGAGCTAGTTAGTTTGTTTTCCTTGTTTAAAGCCTGAGACAATTAACCAGCCCCCCACCCTTTTCCCTTATTATAGTATTGAGTACCACTGTGTTTTCTAAGAAAATTTTTCCATGTCACAAAATGTTCTGTTATTTTCACAGTCTTTTAGTCTCTCAATACGAAGAGAAGTTGAGTCAGCATCCTGATAAAGGAGAAGTGATTATAAGGACCATTTTAATTCCTAAGTGTGCCACCTCTACTGTGTTGTATAAATGTGGTCTTTCTCTTCTCCTCTAATCTGTAAGCTCCACCATTTTAGCTTGGGATAAATGACGCAGAAAAATCATTTTCTTTGATACCACATAGGATGTCATTCATTTCTTTTTTATTTATTTTTTACCATTATTGGGAGGGCAGTGATAAAGCTGTAGATTTGATCTTGCTGAGATACAGTGATTCTTAAACTGCTCTTAAATACGTCAATATGAAAATATTTGAACACTATTTCTAGATACCCTGAAAAGCTCATAGGTTGTCTTTTTTAGTATTTAGAAATTTCAGATCAGCTTAAGTGACTTTTTGTGCCAAAAAAAAAAAATCTATTTCAGTGTCATTTAATTTATAGGTATCTTAGCATTCCCCATGTGGCTGTAGGTGTTAACAAGCATTGTCTCATTAATCTAAATTTCAGCTTATTTTAAACATCTGTCTTTATTCAATAATTATAAATGTTGTGCTTATGCTTGGGAAACAGGGAATTGGCTTCCTGTTAATGACTGTCATATTTTTTGTAGCTATGTTTCTGTCATGTGTGAATTCAGGAATATTTAGAACACCAGAACAGTTGTGTAGTACCTATTATCAGGTATATGACAAAAAGAACAAAGAAACAATGTATCATAAACTAATACTGTAATTGTCCCATTCAAATATTTGGAAACCCTATATATAACTGTTCTAATTAAATTTGAAGGTTAAAAAAAAATAATGCAGGGACTTGCTTAAAATATGTATTCTCTTACTTTTGAGTGCCAACAATGATGAGCATCATTGACACATCTCTCTGAGTGGAATTTTAAAAGTACAACTGCAGTCGCCATTTTAACATTGTAATTAATAGGACCAATTTTCTCATGTGTAGAATTTTTTTTTCATGTGGAAACCTTTGTAATTAATTTTATGTTGTTAGTGGAAAATGCAATGAAATATTACTACAAGCCTTTTGGGTAAGGTTATATCATGGGGATCTATTCTCAAGATTGTCCTAGTGTTTATGTCTAAGAATTAGTTTGAAACTATTGCCACTGCCCCCAAGGTAATATATGCTCATTTTTGTCTAGCTATGCCATAGAATAGCTGAGATTTTAACAAATACTGATGTCCTGATTCAGCCCCAATTTTCTCATTTAATATGTTTAGGCTTGGGCCCAAGAATATTAATGTTTTTTGTGTTTTTGTTTTTTACCAATTTACCCATTGTTTTAAAAGTATAGCATCACCCCGTCTAGTTCATAAACCTATGATTTTCATTATTAAGTTTTAGCTGGTTTCCAATATCATGAACACTGGGGCTATTTCTATTAAAAACATAAAGTTAAAAAGAGACCATCACCAGCAACCAGAGCTAAATAATTCCATAAATTAATGCCGTTTCTATTGGGCCTGGCACGCGTGTATAAATTTAGCCGAAAGAACAGAACAGAAATGAAAGCCACAGAGCCAGAACTTGAACTGGGATCTCTAATGGAGATTAATATTTTCTTCAGCAGCCTGCCAGCTGAATCATGGTCTAATTAAATAGTTCAGATTTAGTGAGTTTGCATTTAAAGTATTAGCAGATCCGAGAAGGGGCAAAGCTAAAATGACTTAGAATTTTTTTCTGTAAATGGGAAGTTAAATTATCACAGTAATTTGATTAAATCATTTCTAAATCTCACATGCTAAATCACAGCCTTTAAAGAATAGGTTGAAGTCTTAATTGCTGTTTGTGAGCATAGCTCTCTGCTATTTGTTCTCGCCTGATTTCCTGTGACATCCTATAATATATCTCCTGCTGGGCCCCAGAAGTGGGGAAGGTTGGGCTTGGGGTGGGCCTGGAAGTGACTGTGCCCTGACTTCAAGGATATAAAAACCCGCCATGTAGAAGGACATGTATTGTCCCAGTAGCCGGGACCAGGACCAACTACTGGTCATTGGAGATAGATTGGGGACAATATGAAGAAGACATTTCTAAAAATTAGCTTGGTTCCTTATCAAGTGGAACGCTCTACATATGTGGAAATGTCTTTGTGAAAATGTGGTATAGAGGTTCCTGATGAAGATGGGAGGTGGAACGAGACAGGTTCAGGACAATTTCAACTCTTTTTAAAAAATAAACATTTTTTATGGATTTCAGAGATAAAAGAAGAGGGAGAGAGAGAGAAACATCAATGATGAGAGGGAATCATTGATCGGCTGCTTCCTGCATGCTCCCTACTGGGGATCCACCCACAACGTGGGCATGTGCCCTGACCAGGAATCGAACTGCGACCTCCTGGTTCATAGGTTGAGGCTCAACCACTGAGCCACGCCGGCCAGGGCAGAGAATGTCTTGAGTTCCAGTCCAGGGCACCACATGAACATTTCTAACGGGGAAGAATTCCTTCTTTGGGCTCCTTCAGGCAGGAATCAAGTCGTGAGCAGTAAATACATATAAACTACTGTATTCCAGATTATTCAAAATTCTTTCAAAGAAATGTGTCATTAACCACCTAATATAAATAGCTCACCAAAAATATTGTGAAATGACTCAAAAATAACCATGTAAAAGGAAAAAAAATAAGCAAAACACAAAGAAAATTTAAAAACATGTTACCGCTTACAATAGCAGTCAATCTATTAATTACTTTGCCATAATTTTTTCGTACACTTAGCCACTTGATTTTAAATTAGATTTTCTCTTTTTATGCATGTGATCTGATATTTGAATTATATGAAAGATTAGGATAACTACGTATATCTTAGAACTCTGTATTCTTAGAGAAGCAGAATTATTAAACATTCAGAATTCCCCCCAAAGACCCCATTATGTATAATTAACAGATAAACTGTCATCAGAATCAATAAAACATGCTAAATGATTCAAACTTGTATATAATTAAGTGTCTCTTTTAGAGCTGTAACTTTTATACCCTCCCCTCCCAAGAATAATCCTGGCAACCCTGTTAACCCTTTCATTGCTTGATCAAATTGGATTTTTAAATGAAATTTCATAACTCATTAATCTAAAGGCGTTATTTGTATCTCAGCAGAGAAGCAGACTATGTAAGGATCTTTTAAGGCACCCTGAATAGTAACTGAAAATTCTACAAGGGAACACAGTGTTAGGTCCAGGGTATAGACATGGAGTTTTAAAAATCTCTGTCATCAGCGTGTTTCTTGCCTTTTGGGATATGTGAGCTTTTTCAGGGTCAGGTCAGGATTATCAACAACTTCACCGCCATGGCACCGAAATTAATACTTTTCCTAGATGGCCTTCCATGATTGTTGAGTGAATGAATACATACGTGAATGAGGTAATGAATAACCTCGCCATGGTCATAATCTGTTAAAAGAAAGGTTTCTCTTTCTTTGCCTTAAGAGAGAAAAAAATACCCACACCCTTTCAGTAATGACTCTTTTATAGTAATTCCCATGTTCTTTTATTTTAAATTTATTTTTTATTGATTTCAGGAAGGGAGAGGGAGATAGAAACATCAACAATGAGAATCATTGATTGGCTGCCTCCTGCACGCCCCCCACTGGGGATCCAGCCTGCAACCTAGTCATGTGCCCTTGACCAGATTTGGACCTGGGACCCTTCAGTCCGCAGGCCGACGCTCTATCCACTGAGCCAAACCAACGAGGGCTCATTCCCATGTTCTTATGAAGCACTGAAAATTATCTACTCTAGGGAAATGTATACCCCACAAATAGCTCGGAAAGGGGAGACGCTGCGTTGAGAGGTTTCAGGGCTTAGAGGAGTGGACGGGTAACCGTTAACTTGCAGGAATCTGCTGCACGCGGCTTCTCACGATCACTAACGGCCTTGTGTCTGTCCTTTGCTTTGTCGCGCAGACTCCATGCACATAGAGGACGTGGAGGCCGTGCAGAAGCTCCAGGACGTCCTGCACGAGGCCCTGCAGGACTACGAAGCCGGCCAGCACGTGGAGGACCCGCGCAGGGCGGGCAAGATGCTGATGACGCTGCCGCTGCTCAGGCAGACCTCCACCAAGGCCGTGCAGCACTTCTACAACATCAAACTGGAAGGCAAGGTCCCCATGCACAAACTCTTTTTGGAAATGCTGGAGGCCAAGGTCTGACTAAAGGCCTCCTGGGCCGCCGCCTCCTGCACGCCCGCCAAGAAAGGGGAAATAAACCCAAGCGTAATGTGGAAGAAACGTAGAGCTTAGTCAACGCCATCCCCAATCAGCAAAGACTGCACTGATCACTTAGCAGCAAGACTGTGAGCAGCTTTCAGATTTCTCATGTTTTCTTCTTCTCATTTCTCTTCTTCTTTATGTTTTTGTCCCCATCCTCTCTCTTATTCCTCCTTCCCCCCATTTCTTGGCTTTCCTGATTACTGGTCCCCTCTCTCTCATTTCCTCCCTCCCTCCCTTTTTTTCTCTTCTCACCCTTTCCTTTTCTTCTAAATTTTAAATAGCTCTAGTAGTAAGAAACATTTTATTTCCTTTCTTTTCCTCCCTTCCTCATTCCCTCCCTCCCCGCTCTCTCCCTTTCTTCCTCTCTCCCTATCTGCTGCTGAACTTTTAAAAGAGGTCTCTAATTGAAGAGAGGTGGAAGCCAGCCCTGCCAAAGGAAGGAAATCCATAGTATGGATGCCAGTGAACTTAATTGTGAACCACAACGTCCCCCGTGACTAAGGAATCAAAGAGAAAGAACCAACGTAGCTAAAGTACAGTGCAACACGAACGGATCGACTGAGGGCAGTATCAGATTCCATGGGAGCAGCCCCTAATCAGACAACTTAAGCAACTTTGCATCGGCTGCTTCTTATCATTGCTTTTCCATCTCGATCAGTTACAGCCATTTGATTCCTGAATTGTTTTCTCAAAGTCTTCCAGGTATTTGTTAGTTTAGCTACTAAGTAACTTTTTCAGGGAATAGTTTAAGCTTTATTCATTCACGCAATACTAAAGAGAAATTAAGAATACTGCAATTTTGTGCTGGTTTTGAACAATTATGGACAATAATGAAGGACACATGAATCCTGAAGGAAGATTTTTTTAAAAAAACGTTTTGTTTCTTCTTACAAAATGGAGATTTTTTTTTTGTACCAGCTTTACCACTTCTCAGCCATTTATTAATATGGGAATTTAACCTACTCAAGCAATAGTTGAAGGGAAGGTGCATATTCTCACGGATGCAATTTATGTTGTGTGCCCGTCTGGTCCCAAACATCAAGTTCTTTACGCGAGCTCCAGTTTCCCTAAATGTTCTCTGACACGAAGGATGAGATTACACCTGCAGTGGCTCTGGGTGGTCACCTGTCAGCACTGCGCCTGGAATCCAGATCTGTAGCATTTTCCGAAGCGCACCTCTCCACCTGGGAGGTGCCATCGCCATACGATTTCTGCTGCGGTGGTTAGGGATGCATTACTGCCTATCTGCAAAGTTACAGACCATGTCCTGGAAGGAGCTGTGAGCCGGTCTTCATTCAAGAGGCAATAATGCCAGAGTTGGAAGAACAACAACAATAAAAAACCCCGTCAAAGATGACGGATGCCTGACCAAATTCTAAAACCTCTTGGTATGAGTTGATTCATTTAGGAATGTTTAATCTGTGGTTTTTAACCAAGAGCTAAGCCAATACAGCTGCTTTTCAACCAGTATTGTCCCAACCAGAAAGTCAGTCAGGTTCCCGACGGTGGAGAGGTGTAATCTAATGAAGGAGTCGATTAGATGCCCCCAAAACCTACAGTCACCGAATACCCAAGAAACAGTAACCTCCATCAGATGCTATCCAATGGACCAGTGTTAGTAGCTGCTCCCTGTACCATGTGAACAGTCTTCTTCTATGTACACAGATGTAATTAAAATTGTAATCCTAACAAACAAAAAGAGATGTAGTTCAGCTTTTCAATGTTTCATGTTTGCTGTGCTTTCTCGGAGTTTTATGTTGCATTCAAAGACTGTTTGTCTTGTTCTTCTTGTGGTGTTTGGATTCTCGTGGTGTGTGCTTTTAGACACAGGGTAGAATTAGAGACAATATTGGATGTACAATTCCTCAGGAGACTACCGTAGTATATTCTATTCCTTACCCGTAATAAGGTTCTTCATAATAAGAATTAAGAGATTGAAACTCCAAACAAGTATTCCTTATGAACAGATCCACATCAAAAATCATAATATTTTCAAAACAAGGGATAATTTCTCTAATGGTTTATTATAGAATACCAATGTATAGCTTAGAAATAAAACTTTGAATATTTCAAGAATATAGATAAGTCTAAGTTTTAAATGCTGTATATATATGGCTTTCACTCACTCATCTCTCCCACAATGTTGTTATTAACTCGCTCTGTGTTGTTGCAAAACTTTTTTGGTGCGGATACGTTTCCAAAACTCTTGCTACTTGGTGTGCTTTAAACAAAATACCTTGGGTTGATGGTTCATCAACCTCATGCTAGAAATACTGTGTATCTATCATTAGCTATATGGGACTATATTGTAGATTGTGGTTTCTCAGTAGAGAAGTGATTGTAGTGTGATTCTAGATAAATCATCATTAGCAATTCATTCAGATGGTCAATAACTTGAAATTTATAGCTGTGATAGGAGTTCAGAAATTGGCACATCCCTTGAAAAATAACAGAACAATCCAACTCCTGGGAAAATAAAAAGGTGCTGATTCTATAAGATTATTTATATATGTAAGTGTTTAAAAAAAAAGATTATTTTCCAGAAAGTCTGTGCAGGGTTTAAGTTGCTACTATTCAACCACACTATATGTAAATGAAATATATACAAATATACATCGTTTTTACTGTATCACATTAAAGTACTTGGGCTTCAGAAGTAAGAGCCAACCAACTGAAAACAGGAGATGGAGATATGTGGAAAGAAGAGAGGACAATTTTAAGTTTTCAGTTTAAGTGAAACACGTAACCCATAAATAGGAAATACAACGAACAATGCAGATTTAAAAGTACTGCACGGGCTTTAGGGCAAATGCCCCGCTTAAAACCTCGCTTGAGGTAAGTCTTTTCGAGTTTCAGGCAAGACCATTTACTTAATGTGAAGTATTGGGAAGTTATGTTTGGGAAGTAAAGGTATATGTTTTAGCTATATGATTTTAATTTTGATTGTGTTTCTTTTTCAGTTGGTTCTTATTTAAAGCAATATGATTGTGTGACTACCTGCTGTTACTCTTGTGTTTCAATCAGCTCAGATTGTTGTATTTATTCCACTATTTTGCATTTAAATGATAACATAAAAGATATAAAAAATTTAAAACTGCTATTTTTCTTATAGAAGAGAAAATGGGTGTTGGTGATTGTATTTTAATTATTTAAGCGTCTCTGTTTACCTGCCTAGGAAAACATTTTATGGCAGTCTTATGTGCAAAGATCGTAAAAGGACAAAAAAAAAATTTAAACTGCTTATAATAATCCAGGAGTTGCATTATAGCCAATAGTAAAAAGAATAATAATAATAATGATAATAATAATAAAACCATGTCTATAGCTGTAGATGGGCCTCACATCTGTAAAGCAATCAATTGTATATTTTTGTGATGTGTACCATACCGTGTGCTCCAACCAATGTCCATTTGTGTAAATGTATTTATTTTATATTGTATATATTGTTAAATGCAAAAAGGAGATATGATTCTGTAACTCCAATCAGTTCAGATGTGTAACTCAAATTATTATGCCTTTCGGGATGATGGTAGAGCAATATTAAACAAGCTTCCACTTTTGATTGCTCTTCCGTATGGTGTTTCTTTATTTCCCTCCAGACGAAAGAACCAAATCAATAAACATCGCCCTTTGTTGCTTCCATTGAAAGAGTGGCTCTGAGTACCTGTTTCCTAAAAATAAAGCAGGGGTTTAAATAAGAGCTATATAAAGGCTTGTCAGAGTGACTCCGAGGGCGCAGAGAGACGTTTTGCATATTTAAGAGTATGCAAAGCGTCTTGTGGCACATTAGAATTCATTCTGACAAGCCTTTATATAGCTCTTACTTAATCTCCAAGCATCTCCACATCATTCCGCATTACTCAAAATCATCGCCTCCATGTCAATGTCACAACAGAAAACTTTCCCCCCCTATTTTAAGATCACATTAAAAACCAGAGATACCTATTATTTCCCTCCATCCACAATTAAATCATGTTTTTGCATGGAGCTCGTCAGCCAGCTGTGGGCTTTCTGGAGCAGCCGTGGGGTTGCCGACCAGATTTCCCGGGTGAGAAATCCACAGATCGGGGAGCTGCCTTCTAACACCAGAGGGGTGAGCGGCAATGCTGACAGCCAGCGGCCTCCCCTCGCCTGGTTCGCCCGGAGGTCGCAGCCCTCTCAGCCTGGGGTAAGCTGTGCGCCCACTGGCCCCTCCCGCAGCCTTTGCCCAGGTGCTGATGTGCGAGTTCTGGTCGTCTCTGCCCAGCTCCTGAGTGTTTTGTCAGGCGTCTGCCCACTGTGATGCTGGCCCTTCAGTGATGGCTAGTTCTCAGGAGAAGTAAGCCGATGACACGATGACACGGCTTTAGGGGCGTGAGATTTACCTAAATCGCCAAGATTCAGGAGCTAGCAACAAAACTTTTTTCCCCTATGTTCATGTCCTGTGAGTTGCAATGGCTCAGCATAGCATCTGACAGTGTTTGGGGGGGGGGGGTGTTTACAAAGTGTTTTTGGGGAACTGAGACTCTGCAAGATACAAACCTAAAAGGAAAAGGCATGCCTGTAATCTTCCAGGGATGCCCTGCTTTAAAAGTAGTGTGTCCCCCAAAAGGTACACACACATTAGCATCTGATAGCTCAACTGATGTTTCTTTCTTTTCAGATTTAACCCATTGGAATAAGTAATTTATTCAAAGTGGGTATACAGTTTGGGGACACCCTGAATCTCTGTTACATGCGTTTTAAGAAATGAAATGTCAGAATTCTCTTGCTGACATTTCACAATTTTTACAGTTTGGAATGATTACAGAGCGACTTCTCAGGGACTGCCATGTTGGTCAGGGATGCCTGTGGTGTAAAAAGAAAAATAACAAAATCGGAGTTTGCCATTTTATCAGGTTGTATTTCTGGATACAGAGACAATGAGTAACTCTGGCCAATAGATTCTGTTGTGTGTGTCCAAGGGATCACTTTTATTTGCACCTGTTTTTTTATAAGTGATTTTTCTCCTTTAAAGTAGTGGTTTCCAAATGAGGCTGCGTATGGGAATCACCAGGAGAGTACTGAACGCCATCGTATTCCCCAGCCCCACAGACTGGGGGTTAACTGGTCTGAGATGTGGCCTGGCCACTGGAATAAGGAAAACCCCCAAATCTCCAGGTGATTCTAATGTGAAGACAAGAGGAGGGAACCACTGCTTTACATTTTATACATTTTTCAAATCAGCCATGAACATCCTAAATTGAAAAAAAAAAAAAAAAAAAGCAACACAAAACAACTTTTCCTACATTGGCTCTGAATTTTTCTGAGGGTTTTAGACCATTTTTTTTTAAATATTGAGACAAAAGGACTTAACCTCTTAACTCACAAATCCAAAGGCAATGCAATACACCTGGATTGTTTTGACCTTCACACTCCTCACCCCCATGTTCCTCCTTCCTCTCCCTCTGCTTCTCCAGCCCACGTGGAGGACACAGCTGGTGGATGCCCAGGCTTCCACACTGCTTATGCCCCATAGAAAAGTAGACACCTGCTCAAAAACTCGTGGAGAATATGTCACAATCTTTTTTTAAAAACTTTTACTGCTACTCCTTTGGTCCTTTCATATGCTTTGAAATGGATTTAGGGGTGGTTCAAAACACCATTTTTTCCCTAAAAAGCAAAAACAGCAACAAAATTGAAACAAAATTGATTTCTTGGAATGACCTCTCTTACCCATATTTTCCAAGGTGATTTAGGTAAGAGGTGGAGATGAGACAGAACGGAGGTAGACTACTTCACTCTTGGGCCCGTGTCACAACTTCAGGTACACTTTGCTAAATGTGAAATTTAATCTTTGACTAATCTGGAAAAGACAAGATAGGTTTTTATTTCATCCACAGTGGTTTTACCTACTGAATGGATAGTTCCACAGTCATGTCGATAGAGTAGTGTTTAAATTAATGTTCCCAACCCTTTCCAATTTCTCAGTCTACCCTCATGCTCTTGGGTCGTATGGAGAAAAACAAAACAAAACCAAGCAAGTAACAGTAGATTGATTGCACGCTACGTCTTATTATGAAACAAAATAGAAAAGAAAGGAATTTCAAAATATAATCCCCCTTCCCCAGCAGTATTTGTCATGTTCTCTGTGAAGTTAAAGGTCTGAAATAATGTGCCCATCAGGGGCTCAATGTTGCATGTCCATCCCAGTTGGTCCAAGGGCTTGTTATGATGGTAATGACCTACTGGAACGTGAGCTTGGATTGCAACAATGCAATTGCTACCAGCTCACCCGCTGGGAGAAATATTTTATTATTGTCAAATGTCCTCCATAGAGATTTGTTTTGCCTGTTCCTGTTTAAATTAAATTCAAAGCAGAACTGCATTAGTATTTCTCTGGAGTATATTGGAGATAAACAACTAGCCTCAAAAGTTAGGATTCCTGGCTAGTTCAAATTTGTTTATTAGCAGAAAAATTACAATAGGTGACACCATCGCTGCAGGAATATGATGACTGCAGCCACACAAGAGATTTACGTACTGAGTCCACGGCCTAAAACTCCCTTTTTCATTACAGATGCCAGCCAGATTAGTAATTAACTATGGCATCCATTGTACAACCGTAGAAAAGGAAAGACATCCCAATATATGAATGCAGTGCCATAGCATGCCACAGAAATTCGGCCATGAGGAAATCTGTGCCAAAAAGAAGTGTTTTTTAAACTTAACACATTGCACACTAGTAGTTTTATTGCTAGCTTTACCCAGTGGCCAGATAAGTTTCTCTTGAACGAGTACAAAAAAAAAAGGTTTTACAAAGGATCATACTTTAACAAGAGATTCGCTTGTAAGAACATGTAATAAATAACTTAGAAATGCCATGGCTATTTAATTTTAAGGCGTGCCTAGAACATTTATGTAAAACACTGTGTAATATGAAAACGGGAATGCTCCTGATCTGCCAGCAATGTAAACTTAAGACTGTGTGTGTAAAAGTATTTTCAGCCAGCAACTTGGAAGCCACAAACATGAATGAAAAGGCTCTTTACGCACACAATATACTTTTTCCGGTATTATTTTTAAAAAGAATTGAAAAGAATGTCCTAGGCCAAACGGAATTATTTGGACCATTTTGCTGGAGGCCCTATACCACAGCTGTGACAGAAGACTCCAAAACAGTGAAGCTTATGTCAATACAAATTTTGTTGCTGGCAGTGAAATGAGAATTGGACCTTATGCCCGCCCCCCCCAAATGCCTGTGACCTTGGTGAAAATCATAGTGGCCTGTGAGCTTCGTAATGGACGACTTTGGAGATCTGGTTTTAGGAAATGCAAACATGGCTGGGAGGGGTCGCTAAAAGGGCCTCACAGGGAAACGCTGGCAGACTAATCAGGAGCATTAAATCCTTCCATTCACACTCCGACTCAATCTGCCAGGCTCAGGCGAATGTCACAATTTTGCTGGGAAGTGAAGAACTGGCTGCTATTGAAAAAATAATAATAATAAAAGCGGGGGGAGGCTCAGAAAACCAAAGTCAGAAGAAGAGCATTTCCCAAAACGATGTCTAGAGCTACGCAAGGGTTGGCGTTATTCCCTTTCAGTGTGTGATTCCGTAGTTCCACACATGAAACACCCTGCAGGCACTTTTGTATTAATCGCCCTGAAATTCGTTCTCTCCCACTAAACTGGTTTATCTGCCTTTGGTCTTCCTTTATTGAAGAGAATGAGCGGAGTAGGCCCCAAAGTATCAACTTTATGTGAATACATCAAAACAGAGATATAGCAAATATTGTCAACTGTATGTATTGGGGGGGAAAATCCCTTTCTCCACACAAACAGATGCAGCGGTGGGCCAAAGGGAACGGACCTGTACAGTTGTTTGTATGGAAAATAACACAATAATAATACGAGCGTGAACTTTCAGGAAGTCACAATGGTGAACCTACTTTTGCCCACCCCTGTATGTGGTTGAGCGTAATTTCTGGGCTGGCTAATGAGGACAGTGATGTTTAGAAAGGACGTTTAGATACGACACTCGGGGAATTCGGAGGCACCTGACTTCCTTGCTCTAGCTTACTAAGACTTGATGGTGCTGGAATAGCCCGGGGCAATGATACCTGATAGATAAACGGAGAGATGTTTCATGGGCGGGCGTTGAGTCAGTTACACGGGGTTCAAACCCCAGCTCTTCCGCTAACCAGCTCCGTGACCTTGCTCCTCAAGTCTATTCAACTTCAATAAACGGAATAAATATACCACCAAAGGGTTGTTATTAGAATTAAAGTAGGTAGTTTAAGGAAACACCTTACCTTGTTCACTAATGGCAAAAATTCATGGTTTCCCCGTTTTTTGTTTTTTTCTTTTTTCCAAAGGAAAATGGGCTAAAAAGTCATGAGGGCGGGGGCAAAGCATGCGTGGTATTTTGCAGAACAAGCACCCCCCGCTTCTCTAAGTAAACAGGAAGGCCTCGTGTGCATGTCACTGTGGTGACCACAGTGAGGGGGTGGATGGGGTGGAGGACAGCACAGAGGGCACATGGTGACGGACAGACAACGCACAGGGGCCGTGTTACAGAACTGCACCCCTGAGGCCTATATAATTTCATTAACCAAGGTCACCCCAGTAAGTTAAATTAAAAAAAGAAAGTTGGCCTCTGCCACGTGGCTTTTAGGCAAGACCGACAAGCGCACCTGTTTTCATTATGCAAAGAAATCCCGCGA